TGAGGCATCTATTCTATTTCATAAATATATTTTACTCAAACGCTAAGCTATATTTTTATAATTTCTATAAACTTTACAAATCGCTGGGTGCACTTCAAATAATGATTTTTTGACATTGAGGCCCGTAAGATGTCGAATATTCAATCATGTAAAATTTTAAAATTACATGGTTCAAATTAATGACGATACGAGAAAAAACTTTAATCTTCAAAAGTAATTCGCTAAATAAATTTTTATGTTAACAATTTTTGCGAAATTTTCGTCCATATATTTTTAAATAATCAAAGATAAATTATAAGGTATGATTCTTTCAAAATTTCAAAAACTTTGTTAACGAAATTCTGAACTTTTTGGCAAGTATAAAATGTTAACGTTAGATTTTCCGGAAAAAACTCGAAACATAAGCCTGGCGCTAGAATTGGCAAAGATCCGGTCCATAACGATAACAATAACCGTCCAACAAATATAAAAACTTGCAAAAGTCATTTTTAATCAAATTTTCACGTGATAATCTTTTCCGATAACGATAATTCAGTTAGATCGGTAATTTATTAATAAATTCAACAATTTCTAATTTTTTTTTGGTTGACCTTCAGAAAATAATGAAACGATATAGCTACTAGTTCTCATTTTTAGCCGGATAAAAAGTTAGCTACTTCGAGGTGGATATAGTATACAAAACTGCCATTAATTCTGCATTAATATGCACAAACTTTTTGCATCATTATCTTACTATAATTAAATTTCTATTTATGTCCATGATATCACAAACACAAAATCATCCCCACCAGGCGCAGGCCTTGCGCATAATACTGTAAATCAATAATCTGCGCGAATTTGAAACATAGTGTGTGTAGCCAGTAAAATACATATATGCAAGATTGCTCACGTATACGAGACATGCCATAAAAGGCAATTTATCAATGGCTCTTCTTGTATATATGAAGTCATTAGCTCGATTACAATAAGTGCATTTGGAATTTTTGTGTATTTGCACATTTAGTCATTGTCAATCTGAATGAAATTCAACTGCAAGGGAGTCGTGTATAAAATAAAGTTTGAATTGTTTATATGATATATATGTTGTTTACAGTAAGCGCATATTTCCATATAAAACCAAATTTTATCAGTAAATCGTCGCTTATCAGTAGGTATAGTCAATAAAATTAATTCTAATTCAAAAATACATGCAGAATATGGAGCCGCCGATAAATGAAGCAACTTATACATGTATATAGAATATATATGTATACAATTTTCTTGGATTCACAAACAGCCCCTTATATTCTGAAAATGTTTAGTATGTTCGGACTTAAAAATACCGATGATTCATTTATAATTATGACATGGCTTGGCCATTATTCTGAATCATGACGCAACATACTTTTCAAAATTTATTTTCAATTGACCATAACATGACTAATCAAAATTAATCATCATTATTTTTATTTTATTTTAAGCTGATGAATGTATTGGAAATAAATTTAGTTGAAATAAAAATTTTAATATTTGAAATTTCAGTCATTTTTACATATTCTAAATATAGGAATTCTTAGCTCCGAAGCTTGTATTTTTATATGCTCATATTCAATTGACTATTTCTGGTAATTCTTTTTGGTAAGAAATGTTTGAACGCATAAGATTATTTTATACTTATTCTTTATATACTCGGAGAACTAATGTTTTAAATATAATATGAGTAAATAATAAAAAAATACTATAAATAAGAGCTCTTTAAAGTTTGATTGCAAAATAAACAAACATTCGTAAAAATATTGATTTACTAGAGGAAAAGTTCTCATCTTATACAACAAGAAAAAGGTTCACCTTATAAACTAAAAAAAATATGATCTCACCAGCAACAATAAGCACAGACAAAGTTAATGAACTTATTCAAAAGGTGAATAAAAATAATGTTTTTCCTCCACAGTTAAATAACCCAGAAGAATTAGTGGCAGAACCACGAATGACAGCAACAGGTAATATTCGTCCACCTCGCCCACAAAATGCATTCTTTTTGTTTCGTAAGAATGTGTTGGCTGAAGCGAGACGCCTCAACGTGCAGAATATGCGCATAATTTGTAAAGTGGCTAGCATTCTTTGGCAACAGGCAACCAATGATGAAAAACAAATGTATAAAGATTTAGCAAGCAAAGTTTCTGCATTGCATCGTCAACGTTATCCAGAATTTCGCTATACCGAAAACCATCAACAAATACGATTTCATAATCACCTTTTATGCAATGTTCATCCGTCACCAGATTTGGATAATTCAAGCGATGTGAATTCTTTAGAAAGTTCGTTAGATGCTATTCAATTTCAATTTGTTTCTCCTAACGTTAATGATTTTATGTATAATGAATATATGTACAATGAATGTTTTATTTGAAGAATTTAATATACGAATTTTTATATATTAATATATACTTAATTTAATAATTTAATTTCATTTAATTTATTTAATGTTAATCGTTTAATCAACTAGCGTTAGCTATTTTAGAATAAGTATGTTTTTAGTATTCATAAAACAAAAACTTTGACAAAAACGCTTTAAACTTTTAATAAAATTTACATATCGATATTTAACCTAAAAAAAAAATAGACTAGATGATTCTCATGGAACTTTCTATTTATTGAATAGCTTGTTTATTTATGGAACATAAGGAAAATGCAGATTATTATTCGTTATATTAGTTACTTGAAAAAAGATGCGAAGTAGTAAAGTTTATAGAAATTATAAAAATATAGCTTAGCGTTTGAGTAAAATATATTTATGAAATAGAATAGATGCCTCA